CCTCATATCCAACGCGATTAGTAGACCCGATAGGAACTCGAAAGACACCTGGCATCAGCGCGATTATCAAAAAGCAAAGTTCAACTTTCCAAGGCCTCCCCTGTGGATTCTGGGTTCGGGAATGATCTCTGGTAGCTTAAGGGCGGAGAGCAGAGCTGCGCGCATTCATGCACAGACCTCGACTGCATGGAGACACCTGGAGCTCACTAACGGGGTTAATAGAATTTGCCATGTCACCGACGTGCATGATGCACTGGCTCAGCGCCCTCATGTCCACATGCAAAGGAAAGCCCGAACGACTAACACCAGAACGAGAGGCGCCAACGACTCACACCTCGATGAGCCCGAAGGAGTGACAAACAAAGAGCGGCCCCAGCAACTCACATCAGGATGAGCGACCCAAGCGACTCGCACCACGAGGAGCCCGAACGACTCACACGCAAGGAGGCGCCCAGACGACTCACACCAGAACGAGGGGCCCGACCGAAACACACGGTGAGGAGCCCGAACGACTCACACAGAAGGAGAGGCCCCAACGACGCACGCAGGAAAAAGAAGCCCGAACGACTAACACCACGAAAGACACGAACGACTAACACACAATGAGGAGCCCGAAACCCTCACACAAGGAAAGCGAGTGGCCACATCGACTCACATCACGAGAATCCGGAACGAGTCACATAGCTGCAACGCACACAGAACCGAACTGGCGCATGGTCTCTGGGGGCAATCCATTGGGCACTCGAACCCTGCAAGCTTAAGGGAGGCCTTCTCCCTATTTTTTGTTCCTGTTCTTTCTAGGGCAAAGGCGGATACAGTTCAGCCAGTGGACCAATCATCGGACGTTCGTCTTCCAGGCCTGGCGAGGACCCGATCGACGCCCAAGGAAAAAAAACGCCTGATCTCTCACACCTTTGGCAGCGAGGGGAAAACTTCACACACTGTCCGCGTGTGTATGTTTATTTGTCATTGTGTATGTGTGTGTGTGTGTGTTTTGCGGCTGTGTTTTGCATGTAAGTACACGTGTGTGCTGCACAGAGTAGACCACCCTAATTTGGTTGAAAAGAGCGCACTCGTCAAAATAAAAACTCGACAGTGGCGCGTGTCTGGGGCAGGCCGCGGTGGCAACCGTGGCTGCATGTCCTCGGGCTTTGGCCGAAAGATCGCTGCTGCCACGAAAGCGGTGCCAATGGGCGAGGAAGAGCAAAATGCACCACGAGAAAAAATGTCGAAGCAATCAACATGATGGACGATGTCATCTACTCCAGCAACGGTGCCACAGCGAGAGAAAAAACAAATATGAGCGCGAGCGTTCCGCTCGGTCTCCAGAGTGAAGAAGCTACGAGGAGTGCGCCTCCTGTCGTCGCCGTGGCGTCGGCGTCGTCGGCGTCGCCATTCACGTCCTCGATGTCGTTGTCGTCGTCGTCGTTGTCTAGACGACGTCGTCGTCGGGTCGGCGCCGTCGTCGTCGTCTTTCTCCGCGTTGGCGTCGTCGTCGTCGTCGTCCTCATTGTCATCGTCGTCGTCGTCGTCGGGCGGTCATCGACAGCGTCGTCGTCGTGGTCGTCATCGTCGTCGTCGCCTTCGACGTTTTCAACGTCGTCGCCGTCGGCGTCCTCCACCGAGCATCACTGCTACGCACCACAACAGCTCCCGTAACGGAAAGACTGGGCATCTAAGCGCTCATGTCGAGCAAAGCCTTCACACCTTCTTCAAAAGACTCGAGCAGAGTGACTAGCCCGATACCTACTAAGTCGGCGTGCGTAGACCTTTGTTTCATCCCAGTGCGCCCCTCCGCTTCGACAGCGGCCGTGAAAACGTCACATACATTACCAAGAGAGACCCACGTCTGCTCTGTCAGTTGGCGAAACTCATCAACGGGTGATGGCGTCGCAGACGTGAGCTCCGAGGACGACTCACTTGCTTCGGTCTCGTCGCAGATCACCAACGCGGACTCCAAGGGGCCTACTGAATTGTTGCACGCGAGACCCGCAATTCTCACCGCTGAGTACACCAAAGCCGCCCACTTCCAGCTCTTGCAGATAACTACGACGCCGCCCAAGAGGAAAGACTGTTCGTGGTCCACTGCCCCGCCGCCAACATACATGTAGACGACGCTCTTGCCCTTTTCCTTGATGGCTGTGGCTATGCGTCCAGACTGGCAGGCTTTGTTGAACCACAGGTCCCCATCGTCCTCTATGACCCGCATTTTATGTAGTTGTCTGCTCACCCGCGCATGCAACACGAGATCTTTGTCCAGCACGAACGACAGAAACCACGCCAGGCTGCAGAGTCCTGTTATAGCGCTCTCGACCTCCAGGCCAGCGTGAGCATGAAGAAATGGAAAGCAGAGGCGCGTCGCGCCTTTGCTTTCTTCGGAGCTCACCTCTGCGGTGGCGCACGGCAGCAACAAATGGCCGAACCTCAAGGCGGGCATCCAATTCATCACGTCCACATCGCACTTCACCTTGTCGTGCATATCCTGCACGTTCCATCGCTCGGCTGCCGCTCCATGGCCCAAATCCCGCAGCGACCTGGCAGGCGCGCGCACGAATTGTGCCAGAGAGGTGCCTGCGCCAGCAGCTTGCGCTAGGACATCATCGAAGGACTTGTAGTCGCTGCGTCCCTGGCCGAGAGTTGGCAAGTTGGGAATCTGGCTCCGATCCAGCTTCCACCACACATCATAAGCGATATCCTGCACACGACGAACAACATCAGGCAGAAGGCGAACCGCAAAGCAGCCGTGATACGACGCTTCTATATTCGAGCGTTATTCGAGAATGCCCCACGGCAGGTTGTTCACCCAGATATGTTCGTTCCTGCGCTTCGCGTACTCGGAGCAAAACTCGTCCTTCGACCCTCCGCCGACATACTCATGGCGAGCCTCGCGGGGCTTTCCTGGATGCCCGAAGGGTTGTACCTCGACCCACATGCAAGTCTTCATCACCCCGCGCGTCACGTTGATGTGCTCTTGGTTCAAGTTCCTTTGCGTCCCAGCGTATTGGTCCTGAGCACGCACTGTGCGACGATGCCGTACGCAGTGAACTATTGGGACGCTCTCCCCCCTCACATTCAAAGGGAGCGACACTTGCACGACCTCTGGGCCCACTGCTGAGTCATCGAAAACAGCTTGCATCAAGCAACACAGCGGGATTGCTGACCTGCTCAGAGGCATGATGATCAGCACCGTGGGTCGTGGGAAAGCTTGCCCCTCCTCCTGAAGATTCCGATATTCACACAAATCTGCGGCAACGGCGTGACATAAACATTCGAACAAGAGGGGGTGCCAGCCGACTTATCACTGCCCCGCACTTGACTCCTCCACCACTGGCCGCCGTCGTAGAATACGTGCTGCAATTTAGTATCACGAGCGACAGCGGCGTCGGAAGCAAAAGTGCTGGCGAAGTCAAAACAATACGCCACGTAGTTGCACGCATCCTCGCCGCACCTTTTGCAAACGTCGAGAACTGCATTCTCGGCCTCCAGGCACCATTCATACCACGGACGGGCCTCAGGGACGGCCACGCTTCCTGTCGGAGCGGACTGCGTGGGCTGAGCTACGCTCACTGCCGACGCGGTGTAATCCTCGCCATCACCTTCCAGGCCATGCGGAGCGAAGGGCAGCACGCCTTCCGGGCTGTCAGAACTGACGGTGGAGCGGGCACGTCGGCCACCGAAATTTTTCACTCTCTGATGCTGATCCCCCACCATGAGCAGTGTCTGTACCGACACGTTCGCCAAAGCAGCCACAACTTGGGAAACGTCGTAGGACTCAAACTCTTCCATGCAGAACAGGCTGAAGTCCAGGCGATTCAACAAACGGTTCAGGTAGCCCTTGATGGCTCCCGCCCGCCACTTGACGAACGAATCCATTGTGGACACGATGAGGTAACCGTTGGTGCCTTCTTTGATGAAGTTCTCCCAGAGCTCCGCCCCTCTCCGCTTGATGGCGAAAATATGTCGCATGTGTTGGCGAGCAAGGTCGGGGAACACCTCCAACGCCGCTAACTCCGCGTCCCCAATCACCTTGGATGCGGCCGCTGGCAAGTCTTCCCAAGACATGCAGAACTCCATGAGCCTCTCATAAGCAGGACGTAACTGAAAGACTTCCAGCTCTTGCACCTGTGATCGCAGGAACTGCAGCTGATCATTCACCAAATCCGCAACCTTATTTTCCCATGTGTTCAACGCCGCAGGGGCATCTGAAGGCCGACCAAGCCAAATAACCCGGGGCCCGAAATCAGAAGCCTCAAACACCTTGTTGAAGAAATCTGGACCTTGCAATATGGAGTCACGCAAATTGCGCGAAGGAGTCACGATCACCACTGCGCCATTCTGTTTGTTGACGTGCTGCAACGCTGTCTCCACCAGCAAGGCCAGCAGTAGCGACTTCCCAGTACCTGCAAAAGCCTGGATCATGAGGTGATGATTGTCCGAGGCGTTGATGATCTCCAAGCAACGCTTCTGATCGTTCGACAGCTGAATGCAGCGCCTGCGCAATACCGACTCCATGAAAGGAGACGATGGAGACACTCTGTTCTGGAGCACATTCCCAAATGCGACTGACGGGGCAGACCCAGGTTGCATGATGGAAAACGCCGCCCGCAAAGCGCCGAGACCCAGAGTATTCTCCACAGTAGCGCTGCGGACAAGAGCATCGTGCTGGTATAGTCGATTACCAACCCATTCCAGGAGAACGCCGAGATACTCTCCCCCTTCAGCCACCTCTGGCTCCAGAGTGATGCGAGTAGCGTAATCTTTCTTCGGCGCAGCCGTCACGACATGAAGCGTTCCGCTCCGATAGGCGGTGTCCAAGATATCTGGGCTAA